ATCCATTGTAACGTATAATAATTAACATATTCTAATCTCATTCAATGTGACAGCAATGAAACAAACAGGATTGCCTAAATCAATGTTACATTTGCCGTGTGAAAGACAACTTGCGTATCAGAAATTTACTTTTTGAAAATGTAAAAAATATTTACAGGGGTATTTTATGCAACTTTTGTGTGAATGATAACACATTGACAGAGCTATATATATATACACACACACCCATGGCATTTGACCCATGTCTTTGAATCTTGTTAAATACCAAAGTTGGTTACTATACACTATCACTAAATAAAATGGTTACTATACAGTCCTGTACACACTGTTGCGTTTACAGTGCTTTGCTTCAGAAATTATGCAATGTGACGCTTTATTGGTGACTCACAAATGTCTATCACAGCATCCCTCTTTCTGCAGTGGTAGAGGGATGCTTCAGAGTTAGCTTCCCTTTGTATTTCCTAAATTGGAAAAAAATAGAAAACCAACACACACAGGACATTTGCCAAGCTTCATTAAAGCTTCAAAAACACATCCAAAATGCATGCTAAAGCAGTAGGTGCTTTAATGTAAGTTACTAAACCAAGCAAGTGTTAATGAGCACCTATGTGCTTTGACACAACAGATGTATGTGCAAGACTGCTGTGGATGTGTTTGGGAATAAACTATGCATTACAAACAGGTAAACCAACTGGGTTCTCAGATGGTGGGAATACTGACAAACAACAGTGAGGTAGACTGGTGTACAACAGCTATGCCAAGATAAAAAAAAACTAAAGCAGATTGGCTGCCAAATGAAAACTCACTTGTATAACATATAATAGCTTCACAAGCCATTTTATAATTAAAGGATCTTACCTCTATATGTTAGCCTTTTACCTCCAGAAACCATTTAATTAAAACTTTTCTAGTGGCAGTTACAAAATAAAAGCAATTTGGATGGCTGTAGTGTGCAGCATCTTTTTGTAGATTTAGATTTTCCACTTTTTTTTTTATTTTATAGCACATTCCTCATGTCCCTATTAACCATACAAACCTTTTTTTTCTTAACGAAAAAAAAATTATATATATAATATAATTGTATAGCACATTCCTCATGTCCCTATTGACTATACAAACCTTTTTTTTTTCTTAACAAAAAAAAAAAAAAAAAAATATATATATATATATCTCAAACACTCGCCACTTTATTAGGTACACCTTTCACACCTGGTGTGGTCTTCTGCTGCTGTAGCCCATCTGCTGCAAAGTTCTATGTGTGGTGCGTTCAGAGATGGTATTCTGCATACCTTGGTTTTAGTGAGTGGTTATTTGAGTTACTGTTGTCTTTTAATCATCTCAAACTAGTCTGCCCATTCTCCTCTGACATCAACAAGGCATTTTCCTTCACACAACTTCCATTCACTGGATATTTTCTCTTCTTCGGACCATTCTTCGTAAACCCTAGAGATGGTTGTGTGTGAAAATCCCAGTATATCAGCAGGTTTTGAAATACTCAGACCAGCAACCCCGTCTGGCACCAACAACCATGCCACGTTCAAAGTCACTTAAATCTCCTTTCTTCCCCTTTCTGATTCTCAGTTTGATCTTCGGCAAATTGTCTTCACCACATCTAGATGCCTATATGCATTGAGTTGCAGACATGTGATTGGCTGATTAGCAATTTGTGTTACCATGCAATTGAACAGGTGTACCTAATAAAGTGACCAGTGAGTGTGTATGTGTGTGTGTAAATATATATATATATATATATATATATATATATATATATATTTATCTTTATTTTCATGGTCATATACATCATCTGCTAGAAATATTGTATTCAATGCATTAGTATTTATAAGATGATTTGCAATGCCTTATAGACCCATATCTTTGTAAACATGTAACTGTTTAATCTGTTTTACAAAATATTGTTTTGAATTGCTGCTTAGTATATGCAACATCTAAGTTGGCATTCATATCGGAAGTATCCGTAAGCTGTGTTATTGTGTGAATGCACTCATGTGTAGACTCAGATCATTAGCCAGGGTTGAAATACCTAGTTTCCAGAATGTACTGTAGATGGTAGTCTTCCCCTACACTTGCAAATAGCTCCGAATTCTGCAGCTTGCAGCAATCCATCACAGTACAACTACTCCAAAAAATGGTATCGTTCTTAAATGCTCTCAAATGTCCAGTAGCAAAAATAAATGAAGGGTATAGTGCATTAAGGGATTTCCAGTTGAGTCTCACAGGGTAGTGGAAACCGCTTGAAGCTGGACTCTTGGGATACCTCTTGCTTTTGCAGCCTTTAGCAATAGCTTCCTAACTAATCAGTCTCTGGGCTTGCATCAAGTCTGTTCTTTCTCTGTTTAGTGACTGAAAACAGGACACAGCCAATTACTCTCCACTGAGTTTAACCCAGTTTCTGTTTATCCACCTAACAGCAGTTGTCATGAAATCACACTATTGAAAAGTTGCTGTGTAGAGAGATCTGAAATAGGAAATGTCATTGTTCTGACTCGGAGTGAAAAAGGAAACTTGGGGGTTTTGTCTAATCAAAGATTAGCTCTTGCATCTCTAAGGAGAGAGGAAAGCTCAGCTTCCAGATCAATAGATATTTTACTTGTGCTGTCATTGCTTAATTCCAGAAGCTGAATACGTACATATATAAAGTATGCACAGTGGCATCATCTACACGAGATATACAGCATTAATTACCTAACACTGTCTGGGCTCCTGGGTCGATCATCCACTCTACTTTCATCAAGCCTGTCTGGAAATAGTTGCTGTCTCTTGTCCTACTGTAGTAAACACGGTGGTCACTGATATTGCTTCTAGCAATAAGTGCATTTTCCTTTTTTTATAACTGAGCATGTCCCTCACCCAAGGATTTCTGCTCTTTGCCTTATTAGGAGCCAGACATATGTCTGTACAGATTTATGACTGTAAGCTTACAAGTGATTTTCAAATTGTTACATTTATGTATTGTCACTGTTATATACTGTATTGTCATGAGGGTATGTGATGTTACCTACTTGTAATTTCTTGTCCAGTGTCTGTGTCAGACAAATGCAGTCCAGCTGTACAACTCCTGAGCCTTTACTTGTACTAACACATTAGGTTGGGTGCACACAAGAAATTTGTGCTACAGCGTTTGTGCCGCTAAAATTGCTCTTGGACGCCCACAATTATTCACTATAATTTGATGACTGATCACTACACACAGGGTGCAATGGCATGTAGCATGGAGTGATGATTAATCACTACGGATTACACAATGCTCCACATTTGTGTGAGAAATCAATACTACATTCAACTATATGTGTGGCGATTGCTAGCAATTAGTCATGGGCAGTGGCATGCAATTTTAATAGCACAATGATGTTAACAAAATGCAGCTGTGAGTTTCCAGCTTTAAAGCACTATAAACCCCCTCCCAAAAAAAGAAAAAAAAAAACATATTGCAGCTTACCAATTCCTAGATGCAGTGGCTGCATTCATTTTCTTTTTTTTCCTCTTATTGTCACCTGTTTATCCAGCAGGTAAGTATTTTATTTTTCAACTTCCTTTAACAGACCACTTAGTCCAGCAAAAGTGTGAGAGTATTGAGATAAACCATTTAACACTTACAGGTTTGCTTACATTGGTCACATTTTTTTTTTCTTCCATGTAGAACCTTTATCCCAAAAGGAAAAAAAAGACTGCTGTTGTTGTTGCTTAACCACTTGAGCTCTGGAAGTTTGTATGCTTTTCATGATCAGGTCATTTTTTGCTATTTGGCATTGTGCTGCTTTAACTGTCAATTGCATGGTCATGCAACACTGTACCCAGATGAAATTTTTATCATTTTGTTGGTGGTATTTGATCACCACTGACCAGAAATTTTGAAAAGAAAATTATCTGCTTTCTGTTGTTAAAAATATTGAATGAGATCAAATTTCTTCATAAATTTAGGCCAACATGTATTCTGCTACGTCTATGTCTTTAGTAAAAAAAAAAATCCCAATAAGTGTATATTAATTGGTTTGTTTAAAAGTTATACAGTCTACAAACTATGGTATTATATATTTGAACATTGATCAATCTTGATGGCCTATCTTATTTCTTGAAGCCCTAAAACACCAGGGCAGTACAAATATCCCTCAAATGACCCCTTTTTGAAAAGTAACCAGTCTGTGGTATTTGTAAGCATATGGTACCAAATTGCACCCAATATAACAGAAACAGTCAATAGGTGTAAAAAACGTGAAAGCTTGATATGCAGTAGTCAGAAGGAAGTGAATCCTCCTTTGCAATTCATAATAGTGACTCTGTGCTCCAATCTGTATAAATTGCGCACTCACCAGATGCACAAGGAATCTGTCCGGACACTAGCCTCTAGTACAGCTCCTCTTCCACTGGGGGTCTCACTGAGCAGATGGCTCAAAGTCAAATCCTCCAATCACGGGCTCATCTAATGATTCATTCAAATACTCTATTTTATTTAATTGTCTAGTTCAGGGGTCCTCAAACTACGACCCACGGGCCACATGCGGCCCGCCGGGGCCATTTATCCGGCCCGCCGGCAGGGGCGGGACAGGAAGGGACACTAAGTACAGGGGCGGGCAGGGGGCTGCTGTACCTTACCAGGAAAGGCACACAGGTGGCCAATCACCTGCGAGGAGGCGGAGCCGAGTGGCCCCGCGAACATCAAGTGAGAGAGAGAGGCCGGAGTGAAGAAGGACAGCTGACAGGTAAGTGTGCCGTGCTGATGGTGTTGCTGCAACCAGGTATGCTGGCTGCAGTAGCACCTAGGCTGGAGCAGGGGTCAGCAAGTTACGTGTCAGTGGGAGGAATAGTGCCCCATCATTGGTGTCACTGATACTAATGATGGGGCATTATTCCTCCCACTGACACCAATGATGGGACACTATTCCTCCCCCCACTGACACCAACGATGGGGCACTATTCCACCCTCCACTGACACCAACAATGGGGCACTATTCCACCCTCCACTGACACCAACGATGGGGCACTATTCCACCCTCCACTGACACCAACAATGGGGCACTATTCCTCCCCCCCACTGACTCCAATGTTGGGGCACTATTCCTCCCCCCCCACTGACACCAATGATGGGGCACTATTCCACCCCCCACTGACACTAACGATGGGGCACTATTCCACCCCCCACTGACACCAACGATGGAACACTATTCCTTCCCCCACTGACACCAATGATGAGGCACTATCCCCCCCACTGACACCAACGATGGAACACTATTTCTCCCACTGACACCAATATTGGGACACTATCCCCCTCACTGACACTATAGAGAGGGGGCACTATTCCCCTCCACTGACACAATGACATACTATTCCTCCCACTGACTCCAAAGATGGGACACTATTCCTCCCACTGACACCAATGATGGGGCACTATTCCCCCCCACTGACACCAGTGACGTACTATTCCCCCCCACTGACACCAATGACTTACTATTCCTCCCACTGACACCAAAGATGGGGCACTATTCTTCCCACTGACACCAATGATGGGGCACTATTCTTCCCACTGACACCAATGATGGGACACTATTCCTCCCACTGACACCAATGTTGGGACACTATCCCCTTCCCCCAATGACGGGGCACTATCTCCCCCCCCCCACACTGACACCAACGATGGGGCACTATTCCTCCCCCCACTGACACCAATAATGGGGTACTATTCCTCCCCCCACTGACACCAATAATGGGGTACTATTCCTCCCCCCACTGACACTAATGATGTGGCACTATTCCTCGAACTGACACCAATGATGGGGTACTATTCCTCCCACTGACACCAATGATGGGGCACATTTCTTCCCACTGACACCAATGATGGGGCACGTTTCTTCCCTCTGACACCAATGATGGGGCACTTTTCCTCCCACTCACACCAATGATGGGGCACGATTTCACTCCATAAGACACACTTGAGGGGAAATGTCTGTGCGTCTTATGGAGCGGCCGGCCCAGTATTCCCGCCGCCATTGTATGTCCGCAGTCTCTGGTCATCTCCTGTACTGTGTCCGCATTTGTTCATCATTTTTTTTTTTTTTTTTTTTTTTAAACCTGTAGTCCGGCCCCCAACGGTCTGAGGGACAGTGAACTGGCCCCCTGTTTAAAAAGTTTGAGGACCCCTGGTCTAGTTTATAGTACTTTGTGCGCTCGCTATAGACATATGTTTTTGAGTCTGTGGTATTTAGTAAGAGGCATGGCAAGTTTTTTTTTCAGCCACATTATATTTATTTTTACGTACCATCACCAGTGCAGGACAGAAGATTACTGTATAGGCAGTAGCTTTAGCTGTCATGAATAGATTTCCAGGTGGTTTACATTATCATGTGATTTCTATGACCAATCATAGCGATTACATGATACCCAGTTACCAGTAATAGTTACCAGTGACTTATAACGGGACTGCGGCGGGCATTCTGACACTGGGGGGAACTGACTTGGTGTCACTGACATCCCCAGTGACACCAATACAGTGATCAGTGCTAATAAAAAGCACTGACACTGTACTAATGGCAGGAATGAATTAAAATCTGGGGCGATCAAAATGTTAACTGTGTGCTGGGTGTTTTTTTTTGCTACGAGGCTGTGTGCTTCACTGTAAGCATACTGCTTTGCAGACAAAAAGGTAACAAGCGAGCGCACAATAAAATAAAGCAGCTAGCATGAAAGGATAAACCCCTATATCCTCAAATATGACTGAAGTGTAGAATGCAGCACTATATGATAAAATGAATAAATGAGCAAATGAAGTGACAAAAGTGACTAAAAACAGGAGTGAAGCGCATATGATTAAGCTCTAACGTGAATAATATGCAATAAAGTGTCTCGCTAAGCGATAGTGAAGATGGTGATAATATATATAAATATATATAAAGGTGACAATAGTGAATAGTCTGACATAAATATAATACAAGAAAAATAATAAACAAAGTTCAAAATATAAAGAAAATATATAATAGCGCCTATGGCAAATAAAAAAATATATAAATCACTTATAGTGTACCAGCTGCAAAAAATCACCATAAATAAATAAAGTGTAACAATTAATGCAATAAATAATTTGCGCTAGTGAATATATCCATAAAAAATATATATATATATATATGAATAATAATAAAAAAGTTCAAATAATAAGTCAAAAATTAAAATTAAAATACCAATACCACAAAAAATGTGCAAAAAAATGTGCAAAAAAATGTCTAAATGTGACAAAACACCACCAAAAAACCTTAGTAATATGATGGCAAGTCATCCATAGGTATATCTTCAGGAAACGAAATTCTGCAGAACACCGATCCACATAGACCAAATATCAAAATGAAAGAAACTTTTCAATTTATCCCGAAAATCCACTTCTCCAGAAAAATCACCTTCAATCGTATCCAAGGAAGAAGATGCCAGGCACTCGAGAAAAACAAAGAAACTTCATGGTGCAGTATTATAAAAACCAATTCCTTTATTAGGTACTCATTGCACTTACTCAGGAGGTGTCCCAGCCGACACCAGCATCAACAGCATAGTAGCAATCACATAAAACAAGCCTAGCTACTCAGCACATACGCAGTAGCTCGTAGCCAAACGTAATGACGTCACATCAATCAAGCTCCGCCGGAGTTTACTAACTGTTCTCTCTCCCCCGTCGGAGGTTCTCGGCAATCACCGTGTGCCGGCAAGTAATCACCGGCCGGAACCCGGTGATTGACAGCCTTGGCCGTAAATGGCTGCATGGGTAGGGTGCGCGCGCACACTCCCTACCTGGAAATGCAAAATCACATATATAAACGTGATTTTGCGCACCTGTGCCACTCTATAGCAGTATATAAGCTATAGGGCGGACGGGAAGCGGTTAATGCGCTAAAGCCATACTCCTGACATTCAGCAAAAATGTAAATACTAAAGAAAGTAATAAGTCCATGAGGTGGCATACATCACTTTGGACTGAGTCCTGGTTCACATATATATGGATTGGATGCGGTTTCATCCGCATCAAGTCCAAATGACGTGAAATAACATTGCTTCTTATGGTGCATGTTCACATATGTCCGTTGCACTGGCAGTGTGGATTCAGTGCGGATTGAAAAAGAGTTCTGAGCAGTGTGGTCCGGTTCAGGTGCGCACATGAGTTGTGAACAGGATAAAATCCTGACCTGAACCTGATGTAAACCTGATCTGAACCACTGAACAAATACTGTATTGATTAGCTGTGAAACCTCAGCTTCAATCCCCACTACACACGTGTGAAACAGCTCTATACCTTTGTAAGCTGCCACATTTGTTTTAAAAGTCTTGCAATTCTTTGAGTTCTCCTCTTGAATATTGTAAGATAAGGAGTTAGTTTGTGCTGCTTAGCCTGGGGGGGGGGGGTTAAACCAGCGTTTTCATCTTCTGGTGAGACCTCTTCAGGCATTTGTCCATAAACTGGTTGAAATAAGCTGTTTTAGCCTTTTTTGTCAAAAACATTCAGGTATGCTAAAACATGTAGTTCCCATATTGATAATTTGGCTACGCTCTCACTGTGGGTATACACTGTCAAATGGCAGTCTTCCTGCTGTATCTGTCCAAAACCTGCTATATTACTGTATCACTGAACAGCAGTGTACTTGGGGCCTTAGGGTCCTTTCACTCGGACATTCAGTCTGCTTCCATCTTGATCATGATCATAAAAACTTTTTGATCATGCCTGCATGGTTTATATATGAATTTTCAGTAACATGATTTTTTTTGGCTATTTTTGTTGTTGAGATAAGTACAGTATACAGCATTATAATGTGTGTAACATACATATTAAAACTTCAAACATAAAGCTTTCAAGGATTCAGTCCACTTGCAGTAAACTTGCATTTTAAATCAATGGATGGCTTAACTGTCTCTTGTGGTAGTGGCAGGCTGTCCAGCTATCATTCCCCCTCAATATATATATATATATATATATATATATATATATATATATATAGTGGCAGTGCGGTGTCCTGCCACGGTCAAAATAAAGCTGAGAACCTTGGATTCTCAACCAGGCAGGTTGAGGGGCTCCAGAGAGTTGATGTATTGCAGAGGAAACTGGCTTTTCAGTTTCCTCATATATTCATTAAGTCTGTTTTGGGATCTGGAGCCTGGAGATTTCAAAGAGATCTGGGAGGGATGAAATCTCCAATCCAGGGTCCGTGTTTTAAGAACCCCCAGCACACTGATTTCACAGGTGTGTGCAGGCCTTTTTATAGAGGCCTAACCATGGTTCTGGGCTCCACCCCGGCAGACGGAGTCAGGAGGGCTCCACCCCGGCAGACAGGAGGTCTCTGCCTTGGAGTCAGGTGAAAGCCAGACTAGCTGTGTGCAAGTGGCCATAATTTGGGAAGAGTCTGCAGGAGACAGACAGTGAGCTGTGTAGCTGAAAGAGCCAGAAGGCTGAATTTGTTTGATCGTGGATACCCCTGTGTGGGAAGCATTTGTGTTATGTGAACTTTCTTTTAAATAAAATTGGGCAAAAAGGCCCTTAAAGAAGCGAGTTGCTGTGTGCTTTAACGAGAAGAGCTCTACCACTTGAAGCGAGTTCCCACAATATATATATATATATATATATATATATATATATATATATAGGGCTTATCAAATAGGATCAAATAGGAGCGCCAGTATGTAGGTGAAGAGTTGTAACCTCCCTCATACATCAATATGCATTGTTTGTAAAACGTGTGGCCCAAACAAACTTATGGGTAATCAGTTGAATGACATTTCCATAAGAGAAAAGAGGCAGTCCATACACATATGATGAACAGAAGATCCCTCAGGAGTAAAGAAGTTCAGAGCAGTAAAACAAGGTCATGGTATAGTTGATGATATCATGCTGTTGGCATCAAGACAAATCCCACTAGGAGACCAGGGAGTGTGGAGGTAGTCATCCTGGCTGGTTTCACTAGGACATCTGGCTGCCTCAGAGGTAGGCTCAGGTTTGTTTTTCTCTTGTGGAAATGTCATACAACTGATTACCTATGAGTTTGTTTGTAAAAGGTCTGGCCCAAACAAATAATGCATATTGATGTATGAGGGAGGTTACACCTACATAGTAATCCTCCCCTGGATGGTGTTCCTATTTGATAAGCCCTAGAGGGAGGTAAGGACTTGTACAGTTCAATCATTTCCTTCTCTGGAG